CAGTTAGGTTATGATATGCGTTTGAGATATTATGTGTCGGGTATGCTGACCGATTATATACACATAAATTCAACCAAAGAGATAGGGAAAGATGGAGAGAGAGGAGCCCAATTTCTTGGCGTGGTAATTGAGCTCTACAGAATTCAGTCACGTTTAAGTTTATTGTGTCCGGCACGCGTTCTATGCGGTGTGACCTAAACTACACGTGGCCAAAGAACCAATTGGATTAGGAACCGTTTGTTTGAATTGGAACGCCAGATAAGATTTATTATTGAAAAAAAAGAAAGCTTTTCGTTTATTTGTATTATGATGTGACGAAACTAGCATACAAATCGTCGAATAATATAAATATATATATATATAATTTAATATGCAGATTGCAGGTGTTTGATGACATAGTATACACATTTTCAGCGGAAGGGGTCAATAGGAAGGAAAGAGAGGGGATCGGTCTTCGTTGCGTTTCTAAATTCTCAAGAAGTATCAATTTGTTCTTAACGGTGATGTAGTTTTAAAGATATGTTAAAATGAAATTTTTTAAAATTAAGATTCTGTTTTATGATATTTACAAAATATTAATGGTGGTTTACGCATATGGGATAATATATTATGTTCTACTACTATCAACTTTTTTTTTATTTACGATTTTCTAGAGTAAGTTCACTGCAATAGAAATATATTTTACATTAAGTTGCACTTGCATAGGATCCAGGATCCGTATTTCTTTTATTATGGTAGGTACCGACGGAGTATGGATAAGAGGTCCTACATAATATTTGTTTTGTCATTACAGAAAACTGAGGTCGACAGATCAGACGTATCGGATGTTAGTACACGGTTTTAATAATGAATTACAAGCTATAATTTTTACCAACGGTTCGTGGCCGATAGCTTGGATTGACCGACCGCGAGGTTTAAAAATAAAGGTCGTTCGAGTACGCGCGTTTAAAGGTAAGCCTTTTGGCTTTGAAGGATACTCGTGACGTCATAATGTTTTGCGCAAATGGAAAAACGCGCGATAATGACACACGTGGATGGAAAATAATAATAATTCATAACATAATGCACCGAGCGGCGGCTTGCATTTTCCGGTCTGGTACCTTCATTAAAAACTCCAATATATTTCGGTCACGTAGTTAAATTTGTTCGGCGGAGTGAAAAGCTGAAGCGGAAAACCTTAGAATAAATAACACCGGCGATTGAGATTTCAATGGCTGTGTGCGTTGTGTATGTTGAAGCGCACTCCTGTCGTAAATCTCAAAACTTGGTCTTCTATAGGCTGACAAAAAAAAAAAAAAAGAAAAGAACTTTGCCAAGTTCGATGATTCGATCGTTGCACATACACATGCACGAAGGAGAGGGCATTTTTTTTTTTTAACCCGCAGTTAACTCCTATACCGTTCTCAACAGACCCGCAATGGTTATTTAGAAAAATAAAAATAAAGTTGTCCGTACACTTCGTCCTCCCGCGTTTGAACTTTTTTTCTCGATTGATCGTTACCGCCCCATTGCCGTTATTATGTCGCCGGGGTTAAATTTACATAGTAAAACAAAAGAACAAAATGAGAAAAACTAATATCGATGAAAAAAAAAAAAACTACGAATCCGGTTAATGTCGAGCATAAAAGTTGTCGGGTCGGACGGAAAATGGCGTTATGTCGAACGACAGGAAGTAATTTGTACGTGCCCCGCAAACCACACCCTACAATTAGTTATCGAGAACTTAATAAATCGGCAATCGTTTTTTTTCTAACCACAACAGCCTTTACGTTAAAAACACCCAATTCCTATATCCTAAGCCGTTGTTAATCGATTTTTCTCGATTATCGATCAATACGTAGGTTCTAAATGTAGGACGGTTTGAACAGTAGTCTCTCAATTCCGTTTGTTTTAAGGGTAGACAATTCAACATGGAGATGGTGTGGCATAATTTGACTAGAACGGACTCGAGGGTGGTTTTATCTCTATCACACCCCTTAATTAGTGTTTTTCAAATTATTCGTTTCCCGTGTTTGTGTCCCAAACGAACACAATAGTTTTAGCAACACCTTTAAAAAAAAATAATGTTTTCTTGAAATTGCACAATAAAATATTTTGTTTATACTTAACCGAATTAAGAACGTTAATATTTTATTACAATAATTTCTAAAGTCTTATGACCGCCTCTTTGAACTCTAGTGAACAATTGAAGATCACAGAAGCCAAGTGCATAATTTCTTAGCTTTTAATAAATTTTGTTAAGTTTATAATCCAACATGTAACGTTATGGTTTATGTTTAGATGGCTCGATCATTTCAATACATTTTGCTCAATCAACAGGCAATAATATTCATATGCAATATATTTCCATACAACGTTCATTATTATTTAACAGACTGCGTACTTACTTAAATTTTTCAACTGCACTTTGGTTATAGCACTTTGCTTCAATAATCCTTATTTGTTACTATTGAGTTGTTCATAAAAAATTAAAAATTACTTAAAGGTTTCTAAACGTTATTATAGCAAGAGAAGTGTAGCCTCGAGTGACCAAATTTATTTAAAAATACGGGACCCCATAAAAGATTAAGAAGGCGGTGGTGTCGTGACCTGCTAATTCAATAGAAAAAAAATGTAAATAATATCTTTAATTAAATCTGTATAAGTTCCTCTACGGGAAGCCTGTCACTCTGTCAATCTACTATACAATAGTTTTATATGTACAAATTATTGATCTTAATTGTAACAGATTTCATAAGTACAAATTAATTAAATAAAAAAAAATACCATCAATTTTGTCCTAACTCTAAATAAAGCCCCCAAAACAAATTAAAAATTAGCTAACATAAAAATTGGTTCAAATCCATCAAATGTATAATAAATAACAACAAAATGAACCATAAAATGATAAAAAATTTTACCATAGATATATTTTAGCATGGCGGATCATTTAAAATTATCTCTGAAAAAAAATAATAACAATTAATGGGCTCTTTGTCCGAAGGACGCCTTAGTTATTCCTCTATTTTTGTATTAATGTGTCGGGAAATAGGGACATTTTGCTCAGAAAAACGACAATCCCGTTTTTAACGGGACGATGGTCACCCTAGTGTAGCCTGTAAAATATCATAATAAGACAAAATCTACAAAAACATATAAAAATATCAAGTTTGTCGAAAGTTGTATTGAAATTCTGACGATAAAAAAGTTACAAGCCTTTGTGAAATTATTATTATATAAAACATTGTTAAATATACGTCTACTTTTATTTTTTGGTTACCTTATTTTAGAAATACCATTATAAAACGATTTTTATTTTAATTGTATTTAACTAAATTTAACGAACCATTATTGTCCCAAAATATAATAAATTGGGTTGTTAATTATTTAACGGCATATTATAGTCATTATATCCAGAACTAAACAAAACTAGAAATAGTAAGAATATATTAAAATAGAAGTTTTATAAAATTAAGCATGCTCCATTAAATTATAGAGACCAAAGCTCAATTCCAATTCGCAGTCTCGGTTCGATCCGATCATGGTCAAGTGCATAATCTAATAGAACGGTTCACACTACTATTGGTCGCAGTGAGATCATGGATCGGTCAGGTCCGGTCTCGATCGGTCGACGCGCGATCCAGATCGTGGCGATCACGAGCTTTTTGATCGAGACTGCCTAGTGTGAATCAATCAACGCGCTAGTCTAGGTCGTGTTATCAGTTTTGCACAATGGACTGTCTAGATTTGATTGTTTGTGACCGTAAATGTAAATAATACGTCATAATCCTTGACCGTGATCGGACCGAACCGAGACCGCGAATGTGAATTGAGCTTAACTATTGTTTATTAAAAGAAACATTTACATCTGGGCTCTGGTTTTAAAATGCCTATTAAATTGTTTTAATGAGTATAGGAAATACAGTAGCAACCCTGCAAACTGTGGCCTCTTTGTGATTGACGTTTAATAAGCTACAAACAACAAATGCTGACTAGTCGACAAGTCACTCCTCATCAAAGAACTTGCTCTGCCCATCAAGTACGTTCGATAAAAATTCTACTAAAAAGCAATTACCTACTTCTTAAGCAACTTCAAATAAATGTTTCTTTCAATTCCTTCTGTTATTAAAGTTTAAAGTCATATCCACCAATATCATTAAAAATAATATCTCTGTAGGTAGAATTTTTAATGCCCGTCAACTCCATCGTTAAAATATCTACATACACTTTAACTCATTATTATTATTATTTTTTTATTTCAAACTAAGTTAAGTGTAGAGACTTACCAATAATTATTTACAGTGTGTATATATGTATAAATAATACAATATGAATGTTTACCTAATTGTTTATTTATATTGTAAAGTGACTTGTAATAATATATTAATGTATCAGATTTGTTATAGAAACAATAAAAACAAATGAACTTAAATTTATTGTAATAAAATTAATACACATATTATAACGTATTAAAAAGTTTACATTTAAATATTTCATATATTATTCTCTTCAATTCTGACCGTGATAGATAGTAAAATACATTCGCTCTTATATAATAATAAAGAGTAAAATATGCAAGTAGTGGATCCCGTTAAGTGTTAAAACACCGACGGGCGTAGCGGAAAACGAATGGAATCATGACCCATAACGAAATAATAACAATAATAATAATTTTCAATTTTCGATTGTTGGCCGAATGATGAATTACTTTGTTGATTTCGCCGGAGTTTCAAACTCGAAACTTATTGATCAAAAGTTTATTGAAAATATAGTGAAGTCATTTTCTATACATTAAACGGATAAAACAAATACGGTATGCGTGCGAATAGTTTTATAAAATTATAGAAACAATAACAACATTGCTATTTAATTTTGACAAACTTGAAAGGCTTTGCTGTTCGCGGTAACGCTTATCGCGCACAACACAGACTATGAGTGCAACTTAGTTATATTACTTATGGCTGCCAATATAGCTGATATATATTATATGTATAAGGCAACTATTAAGTGGCAGCACTTACCGGCCCCTGTGCGGTCCAACAGTTCCCAAATCGTAGGACGAGCTGGCCGTTATGTCCGTGTCTAAAATTTTGCCAGACTCCATTCCCAGCGGCGTGTTGCATTCGTCTGGAAACAAAAAAAAAAAAACGTTTCGGATAAACATCATTTGTGTGATGTGGGGAAAACATATTAAACCGGTGGTAAATGATTTACAGTCAGAGGCAATTGTATTTTCCCGTACTCGTATGCTTGTTCAGTTGTATGCCATTACCATTTGGCTAACGAGAGCCAATGAAGTCTAATGATACACATATTCTACATGTTATATAGGTAGACTGTATACAATAGAGCTGCACAGATGGCACGATGATGATAAAATAATATTATCGTATAAAATGTACCGAAGACTTCCTCTCTGCCGCTATTTAATACTGGACTGTATATAATTATAATCATAATAATCGTTCACGCTTTAAAACGCGTTCATTTTGGAAATGAATAATTAACACGTACTAAAACGCTTAGTGTTAAAAGGGTTACACGTATGACCGTGGAATTAAATTGAATTATGCCGTACTTTGACTGATGTATACCTACCTACGATCAGATAGTATAAATTATATGATCATTGTGAATTTATTGTGATTATGTTCATATTGACATTATATAACAACAAGTATAGTTTTATTATACTTTTAGTAGTTTTATTGAAATGGAAACTTTAGAGCCTGATAGTCTTAAAAAAAACAACATTAGTTAAATCATGTTTTTGGAAACATTTTAGTTAAACCAACGTTTTGAGAGGTAAATTGCTAATTAATATAAACTTGCAAGTATATTACGTCACTTTCAAAGTAATTAAAAGTAAAATAGTTCGCAGTACAAGTTTTGGCGTGTTTCCTATTAAAATCTACTTTACTCTGGTGACTTGTCAGTTTTGAATACTACCTGTTTTAACAATAATGATTACTTAAAGTGTTTTATGAGTCAACTTTCTGGGAAAATATTTGATTCAAAAGCTAATAAGAGGTAATAGTAGAGAATAAAGGTTGATAGTTAAATTCATATTGGATACTCCTGTAATAATTGTCCAAAAACCGTCTACAAAATAAATTTATGCGTAGTATATATATATATTTTAATAATACGTTACTTATGTAGTTGTAGTCACACCATTAAAATAATTGTCTACAATAATTAAATTATCACCAGAGTATCATTTGCAGAATTATAAACATTAGGTTCACGAAAATACTTCTCTACTAGATATTTGTAGTATTTCGTTTTACGAGTGGGTATAGAATTCATTACAATGACCGTTATTATATTTGTATTTTATTTTATACATATTCGTGTCTTTTTACAATTAAAACTGTGCCCGACCTTTGTGGGCTGTTTTGCTCGATTCAATTATATATTATATTCGCGACGTTCGTGGTCCGACTCAGTAAATTATTAACACGTCTCCTCATAATATATTTTACATTATAATAATATTCCATCAATAATTTAAGACCCTCCACTAACAGCATGTGTACACAATGACTTATGCGTGCGCGCGTTTTAGACAGGTCAAACGCTCCAACGTTGAATATATTATTATAATATGGCCCGGTGTCATTTTTGGTAGGTAGCTAAGTGTAGGTGTGTATTTTATACTCTTCCGATCGACAAATGACCGAGTCAGACATGCCAATTGTTTAGGTGTCGGTTTAATTTTCTAAGTCATTAAAATATCATAAAAACGTTTCTCGAGTGTTTTCGCAACTGCGCCTTTTCCATCACCCCATTTTCCTGGGATCATTTATTACAGCACACACACACTTGTAAGTTGTATTGGTTGTGGGCAAATAATATATAATTTTCCGCACGAGCGGTTGCTTTTTATTTATTTTTTTTTTTTTGAAGGTCAAAGATTGGACAGCATCCGCCGCCACCGCATCGTCGTTTTTACAATCACCCACACAATTTTTCTTTAATATTGTTTTCGGAACGTTCTATCGACAAGTGCAATATTTACACATTACACTATATTAATTAAAAACGTTTCTTAATTTCTCACGCCGTGTTTCTATACCGATCCCGGTATACTGTTACGGTAAATTCATAGCCAAATAATATATTATGTTGATATAAATTAGCCGCGATTAGAAGATTCGGGGCACAGGGATATTATAATATTACATGTGGTTCTGGAGGATGGACCCCGAGTCAAAGGGGTGTTTTGCTCTAGTGCTGTTTTGTATCGGGCCGTTGATTTATAGCATTCATCCATCATGATATGGCCGATCCAGTAAAGCCTATTGCAGTATTGAATCTAAAACGGGCCCCGTTAGGTTGCACCCAAAGTTATTTTGAAGAGTAAAACATTAAAAAAAAAAACCTATCTGCGAATAACAAACTCGACGTGCTTCGTTAATTAATAATTTTCTCTCCACCCCATCGCGCCGAAAGGGTTAATATTGAATATTAATTATACTGATATATTTTAATCATAACGTTCGGCCTTTCGTATATTCAATTCCGCTCCTTTTATAAAACATACCTGCATAGAAGGGGCATTTACGAGCATTCTAAAATCGTGCCCCCGTTAGCAGGTATCCACTATAATATATATTGATCACAATAATTATTTATTACTATATATATTTTTTATTACTAACGACATTTATACTTAAAAAGCCAAAACTGACAGACGGAGTGTATATAGTGGAGTTGAGGAGTTATTGTTTTCTAGGAGGCCTTTGTCAGAAGTCATTCTACTCATATTCAAAGAAACAGTTTTAAACTTGTCTCCTGGGACAATTACGTCAATGATTCAAGTTGCAGAATATACAAGGATATAACGATATAAAAAGATAGTCAAATTAATTTGTTAGGTAGGCACTTACTTGGCGAACCACGGAAATTGATTTATGAGAAATGTTAAATATTGATAATCGTTGCCAGTAAATCGATTAAGGTCAGATATTATAAAACTTCTAAAAAACGTTTGCCCAGAACATATAATTAAGACTATACTATCATCATACATCGCAAGGAGATTATAGATTGTCCATGTATCTGCATGAAGTGTGGATATTCTTAACTTCTAGCACTTTAAAAAAAAATAACAGATTGGTACCTTACGAAACACAATATAGGTAAAATATATACAAATAGCTGTGCGTATTTGTATAACACTTTTACTTGGGTAACCGTGTAGTTATATTATTATTATATTGCATGTCGAAATCAAAAAATAAATGATTATATTATACTACAAAATATTATTTTTCCGAGCCTTAACTATTTCATATTATAGTTTTTAAATAGCTTCGAAAACAATTTTAGGATTTTTATTTAAAAATGGTATTGGAGACAATAATGTACATTACATGAGTTATGTAAGACTAATCTTTAAAAAATAATAATTATTTGTTTATACTCGGTACATAATAATAAATGTTGTTTTTCTATAACAGGGATACTAAATGTTATACATCAAAAACTATACATTACTTCTGAAAAAATAAAATTAGACGTTGTTTGAACGTCCGTAAAGTTTTATGGTTCTTTGTTTCATGCGACAAATATGTTTGTAAATTAAAGATTAAAAAACCCCCAAAGAGGAGGCAGCTGGTTTTTACCATCCATTTTTAATGTTCATATAACTTTCTAGTGAAAACAGACGTGACAAGCTTTCAACAACGGCGTTGAGAGAATAGAAAATAAAATACAATATGTTACTATGCAATTAATAGAATATATATAATAATAAATTGTAGGCTAAAGGGTAAGTCTTTAAGTCGATCATGCTGTAAGTTTATCAAGAATAGAAAAGTTATCGTTTAACATAAAAAAGTTGTCGTTTAAGTATATGTTCAAATAACTCGTTAAGTTTCTTGTTAATGTTGACTAATAACCGCATTGTCTCTTTACTCTTGCTAATGTCGATATTTCAAGTCTCAAATTACTGTTTTTAATTTTACAATAATTTTATACTTTTTTTTTGTTATGGAAAATATAATTAAATAGTAGGTATTTCATAACTATGTGAATTTATTGTTTACTTAACTGTAACAAACAAAATATAAGTTGAGATCAATTTTAACAAGTTGACGTTATACCCCTGATTTGTAAGCGTAAAGCATGTCTATGCCGAAGGTCTTTAATATTTAAACTTTTTTTTTTCAATAAAACGTAAAATCAAAACACATGTTCCTATTTTTTTCGCTGAATCTAAATTTAGTTAGAAAAAAGTGAGGCCTGAGGTCAGCAAGACAAAATTATTTATTTTAGTTCTTGTTCTTAAAAAGAGATAAAAATGTTGTATATTGTAACCAGTGGTTTTATCTACAAAGTCCCTGTTAAACTAAAACAATTTAAAATACAGCTGCCAATAAATTGTTATTAATTATTATCATACGCGCGCCTAAGAGGGCTAAGATGGAGCTAAAAGAGGCTCACCAATTGGACGTGTCTGTAGCAACTGCGACATGTTTAGTTTTTCCGTAGTAGTTTTTTTTATAGTCAATTATGTTATTATGTACAATAAAATCATTATAAGCTATTCAATTCGCTTCAATACCAGAATAAAAGTTGGTCACTTTATTATACAATATATTATATGTCGGTAAACAACATATGCCAGGACCGGACAGACTTATGGAAACAATTTAGATTTATTTGTATAAAATTTAAAATTTAATCATTTATTTAAGGACTTGTATTTTTTTCCGGTGTTTGTTTATTCCAAACGCTGGTTTGCGTTCACCAACGCTGTGTGTACACAAGGGTTTGTGTATGTGCAAAATATCCCAAAAGATTTGATGCGAAAAATCCATTACACGCGTTGGAACCAATCAAAATAGTGTCATTTAAGTACACGCACGCGCCCGAAGAGCTTTACCAGATATTATGATAGTAAATATAATTCATAATATAATAAATATATCTATATGGAAGTTCATCTATCTACAACCGATGCACGTGGCCGTCAATAAACAAGCGTTTTTTGTACACGGATTGGACGTGAGGACTGGAACTCGAGCATAATATTATAAAGGTTGTCGTGTACATCGATTATAAAATGATAATACTATACTACTATATTACACGAAAAAGCTGAAAACAGTAGCTCTGGG